TTTAGACAAACTGCTTCTCCATGGCCAAACACACTACAATGAATACACTGGGAAGGTTTCCATTGGTACTCCACTCGGACAAGCATTTCCTTAGAAACTTTATTTTCCTTATAAGGCATCAAAATTGTTACAACTTCTGGTAATTTACAGCAAGCCTCTACCTCAAAAAGAATTTGAGCGTATCCTACACGACCAGCGCCAAGACGATAAGTGTCTTCAGTAATACGATCCATTCCTAAGGGCTTACCTACCCCAATTGCAATATAGCTCAACCCCTTATGAGTCCACAACTCCAAAGGAACATCATACAATTTAACCCACAAAGGGACTGTGCAGGGAGATTCTTTGTTTAACTCCATCTGAGGTTGCCATTTTTTAAGTAAGATGGGCCTATTTTGGAGCAACCAGCAGCCATCTTCAAGGCATTGCAACATGGTTGTCTCCTTTGCAAACTTGAAAAAGAAAAATCCTTTTTCATTCATCATAATTTCCTTAATTCCGTATTTCTTCCACAACCTCATTGCCAACGATTGAACGGAATGGAAAGAAGGTTTTTTCTAAACGAAGGATCCTACTACACAAATTTCCCACCTTTTTCTTCCCTCCAAGGCAATCTCAAGGGGCGGATGGAAAAATTTACCAACCTCAAAGTGTCCATGTAATTAGTGTACTTTTTTTCAAGAGAGGCAAGTTTCCCAGAAGGGTGACAAGCTGCATCGGCGAAAAGAGTAAAAGGGTAGCAAGTGACAAGAGAGAACAAGAGCATGACAATTGGTCTAAAAATCCATCCAAGCTGAGCTGTAGCGCACGCCAAACACAAAACTCCAGACCCTGAAAACAAAGCCATCGAAAATATATATATATATATATATGTGTGTGTGTGTGTGTCAAAAAGTTTCACTTCGCCAATGATGTAGATCATGAGTAGATCTCTGATTGCCACACCAACCTTGGGTTCTATCGATATTAAAAAGTCTCAAGGCTTTCGAGTACCACAAAGCACCATTATAGCCTTGTAAGCAGCCCTTTAGTTTCTAGTACTGTGTATTTTATCGATCAGCCGTTCGTAACTTAGCCCAAAGACGTTGTCCATTAATGAATTCGATTGCTCACTTTTAAATGCATGATAATAAACTCAATTCCTATATGTGCATTAATGGAAGTAGAAGCTTTATGTAATAAACCATTTAACCTTCAATTATTAAACTAATTCTTTCATGTGTGGATCGAAAAAGAAGTTATTTAATTTCATCCTGTACATGCAAATTCCCCGAATGTTCATAAACTTGTTAATTATAGTACGTTTCTTTCAATAATTTTCTCCATTTTTATTCCTACCGTACTCAATATGCCTCTGGTATATATTTTCTCATTTCCCGATTAAGGCAAAGTAGATGCTTCAAATATTCTGGCCAAATGTGAAATTCTCTCAAAGTTATAGAAAAGGCCATTTAATCCACTGCATGATTTTCTCAAAGATAAGATACCATATATAAGCCTTAATTAATCACAACTTGCTGGGGCATTCACTGATGCTTTTTCACACACGAAAACCTATCGCTGTAAAGGAAATCTAGAGTCAAATGCTTTGGGTTGGGTAAAAGCTTCTTCCTTTTCTCAGCTATTGGGTGCCAATTAAAGATAAGAATTAGATGATGTTTTGAGTATAAGAATTACATACTCAATTTATAGGGAACCAAATATAAGAATTACATACTGTTTCCACACACCTATGATCAATTAATGGTGCGCAATACAAATTTTTTCTGATATACGTATTGGTTGCCTTAATTTTTCAAGAGAAAATTAACCATTAACCAGTCAACTAGGAAAACTATTTAGACAAGAAACCAAACACATTTATATTATTATTCGATGTGCCTTCTTCGAAGAAAGAAGAAAGGAAAGTCAATCAGAGCTATCATTAATTAGGTCAAAGGCTTTTACAGGGGTGGCAACAAGAAAGAATTCATACCATGTACAATAAGAGAGATGCTATTCTACTCTTCTTATTTCTTGTTACCTTTCTGGAGATCCTCTCTCCGGAACTAGAAACTACACTTACATGGACGATCCAACGTTGGTAATTTTTTTATCAAATCGACACAACTGGGTTTTACTAAAATAACTAACTTAATTGCTAAATTTTTCTCAGCTAGTTAATCTCTATCTTAGACATAAGGGCTTATTCAGTACCTGAATTTATTTGGTGTTAATTAACTCATTGGATCACAATCACATCGATCTCCAGCAATCATTAATCAGCATCTAAAAGGGAACCAAAATGGATAGAGAAGCAAAAACATGCATAACCTAATTATTCACATCTATAATTACTGTGCGGATCTCTGTCATCTACAATTAGCATGGTCAGTACCATTAGAATCACCTTAAACGAGAAGATGAATCTAACAACCACTTCCTCTTTACTCTCACCGTTATTTTCCTCTCCCAAGAACTTCAACTGATACATAGAGTCAGATAACCTTTAGTACGTACTCCCATTCAACTCGGCCACAAACAACTCACTCTACAAATTATTTAAAAAAAAAATGAAAGATTTGATTTTGGTTGGGAAAACAAAAGGAAATATATTTAGGTAAAATTAATCATTGGGATTATATATTTCTTGTATTTCAGAGAGTATATACACAAGTAAAGTTTTTTGTTATGTGTGTGTGTGCGTGTATATATATATATATATATAAGTTTCTTTTTTTCTCATTTTCTCAGGCAGGACTGAATTCAAGATTTGTGGAATTTTTTTATTACATGAACCTTTTTGGAGGTACATCGGCTACAGTATAACATCATCCACAAGCATGAAGTGAGTTCCATTTCTCTCTCTCTCTCTCTTCTTAATTTGAAATGAATTTACAACTAAGAATTTGATAAACTTTAGTTTCAGCTTTAATTCTTTGGGCTAATGAGAGGTTTCTGGTTTTTTGCACGTCTATTAGTGCTACCCGAAGATCAAAGTGCTTTCGATACAAGAATCCATGCCAGAAGAATCGCATTTCAGAGATGATTGTTTTTGGAATCATACAAATTATTTTTTTTCTCAAATTTCTGACTTAAATCAGTTATGGTACAATGTCCTTTATTTATTCATCAATTGGTATTGGTCTCGGAGTAGCTAAAGTTGCAGGCATGAGGCAACTTATAGTTATATTTATATTATATGTTCCATTGAATGTTATACTAATGTTTGAATTATTTTTTATGGCAAGTTTTAGCTTTAGCTAGCAATGCCGATATAAGCCCTGTTGCTTTGGTTAATCACCAGAAACTAGGAAATTAATGAGAAGTTTAACTGGTACCGTTAGTACTGTGACCAAATCCCGGAAGATATGGAGGAGCTTCCAGGTACTTGGTGACATAGTGTTGGGCTATTCTTACTCCAACGTCCTTATTGAAATTCAGGTAAACTACCATGCAGAAATTCAGAAAGTTGCACATCTACAGCGTATAATTGCTAAAAATGTAACAGGACACAATCAAATCTCCACCATCTGAAGCCAAGATGATGAATAAGGCATCTCAGATAAGTGTTGGAGTAAAAACCCTATTCGACGTGCTCTTTGGCTGCTTTGGATATGCTACTTTTGGAGGCTTAGTACCTGAGAAGCTCCTCACTATTGGCTAATTGACATAGCCAATGCAGCCATTGTTATCAATCTTATTGGTGCATACCAAGTTTACTGCCAGCCCCTGTTTGCATTACTTGAAAAACAAACTGCGGAAAGATTCCCAAATAGCAAATTTATCTCCAAAGAGATCAAAATACCAATCCCAGGTTTTCAGACCAACGATCTGTATATATAGTATGATATTGTCCTAGCTTTTGAAGCAGTATTGTGTGTCTGTGCTGTAAAAATAATCAACTTATAAACAAATAATAATCTAGGGTTAAGTATGCTTGTAAAATGAACTATTTTGTTGTAGAATAAAAATAAAACGCGATAAATATTTGGTTTTGGCTTGAGATTTTGATCGTTCACTTTAATTAATTACCTTCACCTCTATATAATTCCCCCCATCATCATCATCATCATGGAGGTGGACATTCTTGTTTAATGAAATTTTCTTGGTAAAGTAGAAACCACCAAATCGTTTTCTTTTTGGGTAAGAAATTAATAAAAGTAGGAATGTAAAATTCTGACCATATACAGATTTTTGTAGTCTTGACATCTTCTACGTGGTCCCTACCTTCCGAGTTCCGATCAAAATCTAGATGTTTCCTTTGATCTCACACCCACAAGATTATTCTCTCATTCAAAATAACACACACTTTGTTAAAAGTTTCAAAAGTGATTATTTAGATAATCTCACCTATTCTGATAATAATTTAAACACGTGAGGGGTTACTTTAGAAACCGTTCATACTACATGCATGTAATGAATTCTTTAAATTATCTATTATATCCTTATTGAATTAAGGGAGATATGTTTATATCCTTTAGGAATTAATGAAGTTTTTAAGGTTATTTATTATATATATATTTAATAAAAATATTATTGTTGTAATTTTTTACATTTAATGAATAGTTGTAAAAATAGTTAATATTATGTTAGTTATATCTATTTTGGTAATAATAGAAAATTAAAATATTTGATAATAAAATTTATCAAATACATCTATATTGCTTTCAAGACATATAGCATTTTTAAAAGAAAGACCGTCTATGAAGCACAGCAATATAGGAGTGATTATTTTTGTTGGTTTTAAAAAACGTATGAACAAAAGATAAGTACTAAAACTGAAAGTGCTCTCAATGAGTAAGACCATCAAAACAATCGTATGATCTTCCATTAATTATTGAATTAAAAATACATGCTACATTTATAGGAATATTATATTCCTAACTTTATTTAGAGTAAACAAAACAACTACTTCCTATAAAATAGCAGAAAGAATTGGTCAAACAAACAACTACAACTTAACCAGTCATATTTGTTAAAGACCAAGCTATAGCCACTTCTTTGCGAAAGACCAGGTAGATAACAGTCCTGGTTTGTTATTCCAACAATTTTAAGAGTTCCACAAGTATTTTAACAGTCCTGGTTTGTTATTTCAACCTAACAGTCCGTGATGAATGGCCATCAGCTGGTACCGAACTTGAAAGGCTTAAAAGACTTGAGGTCAAGAACAAATCCTGCAATAGAGCCCGTAGCAGCAGCAATGCTTATAATGAAGCAAGCAAAACTTAGGATTTGGAGGCAAATCCATTCTGTTTTCCACTTCGTTATCTTCTTTTCCCTTATATACATCTCAACTGGAAAGTAGACTGTGAATGGCCAAAACCCCAGGGCTCCTAGGAGACCAACCCCGTCGTTAAAGAATGGAAGGAGCATTGACATCACACTGGTTAATGTCACGACAGTTGTCCTCCAAACCAAGCCAAACTTTAATTTGTAGCTCCTAAATCCCGGGATTGAGATTTCAATCTCTTTGTTGAATCTATCTTTTCCAATTTCGAAGAGGGGCCGGCAGTAAATTTGGTATGCTCCAACAAGGTGGATAAATATGGCTACTTTGGCGATCTCTAGTATCCAAAATGGTTTATCAAATCCTAAACCAGTGAGGAGGTTTTCAGGTGATAAGTCTCCAAAAGCAGCATACCCAAAGCAGCCACAGAGCATGTAGAATAGAGTTATTACTCCAACACTTATTACTGATGCGTTCTTCATCTTCTTGACTTCTAATGGTGGAGACTCCATCGAGTCCTGTAATCACACAAGTTTTTTAAGTTAGTCCATCGCATTAGTTGTTAAAGCCTTAAAGGAAGAAGTTTTCCAGTGAGATGCTTCTAACACAACTTTTTCTTAATTACAATATTTAAATTGAAAAACTAAATATCAAGAATACTTGAAAAAAAATTCCAATTGGATACATTCAGAAATTAGAATAAATTAAAATTTTTAAATGGGATTAATTAAGAAGTGGGGTTTAATTGATAAACCATTGAGTCTTGATAACATCATTTAATTATCATTTTCTTTTTCTTAAAGTGCGGAATATATATATATATATATACTTTTTTTTTTTTTTTTTGGGTAATAAATATTAAAAAAGAACAGATAAGAGACATAGTACGTACCTGAATTTCTATCAAGATGATAAAGTAAGAATACGCATACGCGATAACTCCAACAGCGTGGAAGGTCCTCCATATCTTTTGGGTTTCAGTAACAGTGCCAATGCTTATACCAGTCAAACTTCCCCGGAAATTCCCAGTTTCTGCTGATAATTGAAGCAATATTAAAATAAAAACATACGTCAGCTTTGCTTGAACAAAAATTGAATTTGAATTTAGTTGAAATCAATGACAACATATAAAGATGTATTGGTGTATGTATTACCTGCTACTTTAGCCACGCTAAGACAAAGACCAATCAATGAGTAAGTAAAGGATGTGACGCCGGTTACCAGAACGGAGACCCATCTTAACTTTCCAAAGTCATAAATTTGAGAGAAAAAAATTTGTATGACACAAAAAATAATCACACATAGGTTGCGATTCATATGGTATTGACCATTGTTGTCACCACCACTGTGAAACCACTTTGACCATTGGATTGCACTGATTCACAATACACTTACGAGATTCAGCCATTAATTACAAAAGAACTAAAATAATTACTAAGAAATATGTATCTATAATAAAAACCCATGTTCAAATTCGTATCCGATCGAAGTTCTTTCCGAAGAATATATATAGAAAAAATTAAATTATAAAACTCACTTTAAGCTTGCAGATGATTCTGTGGTGCAGCCACTGGCAACTCCGAAAAGGCTTATGTAATAAACACCTAGACTTATCAGCTTGAACATACTCTCATCTGAGAAAAGTAAGAACTCAAAAAATAAGATATCAATTAATAATTTTAAGAATGTCTGATTTAAAAAAAAAAAAATAAAAAAAAAATTGTCTAGAGTTTACTTAACATTAACAAAAAAAGACGTCAAATTGTTAATATATATACTGAAGTGAAAATTGTACCAAGCTCCTTTAGGAAAGTGTCCATGTAATTAGTGTACTTTTTTTCATCAGAGGCAAGTTTCCCGGAAGAGTGAAAAACTGCATCGGCAAAAAGAGTAAAAGTGTAGCAAGTGACAAGAGAGAACAAAAGCATGACAATTGGTCCAAAAATCCATCCAAGCTGAGCCGTAGCCCAAGCCAAAGACAAAACTCCAGACCCTATAAGAGCCGTTATTATGTGAGCACTGGCAGCCCACACAGTAGTTCCTGTTTAAGAAACATAGAATTATTAACAGAAAAAAAAAATTATATATATATTTCTTTTGAGAAAGTTTAAGAAAGAAAGTTACTTGTTGTCTTGAGGCGGCCATCATAAGAGGAATTGGAGCCGCCTTGAGGATGCGAGTCATTGGAAACTTGGTTCTGTTCAGCAGTCTGGTCACCCATCTTTGTTCTTAAAAAGAAAAACACAAATAAGCCTTTTTGAGCAACGACGCTAGCGCCAAATTATATTATCTCAAGGTCTGTTCACTAGAAAATGAAATCAAAGACAAGATTTAAGAAGAGTACTAATTAGAACAGATATAAGCATGCATGTGACTCTTTTCTGGTGATCTAAGTCTAGTTATGTCCGTGTTAAACTCTCACAGCTATTACTAGACACAGATTGACACACACCTTTCAAGAGTCACAAAAACCCAGGCCATATGAGTTATTAGCTTGATTTTAAAAATAAAAACTTTCTCAAGACTCTTAATTAATTACCTTTGGTGTTTGTGTAAAATTTCCTCTCCTCAGCTTTCGAAACTCGGCTTTGAAGGAAGCAAATTAAAACTTAGCTGAATAACAGCTCTATAAAGCAGGGGGGATTATGAGTTCATTTAGATGAGTGGATCAGGTTCTTATAGGCTGAAGAGTATTCGTCGTTCTACACGCTGAAGGGAAGCTTCAACTCAACTTCATTGAAACCTGTAAAAGCTTCCAATTTAATCCCTTCAGAGATTTTAAAGCAGTATGAAAGGCACTATCTTGTATGGCCATCCCGCGGAAAATTTAATATTAATTTGTAATCTTATTCATCAAGTAATTGAGATTCTTTTTCTTTTCTTTTTCGAAGGTGACCCTCTGGTGTTCGGAAGGGGATAAAATTAATATTTCGGTAGGTTTTTACATTTTTCCAGGCTATATAGACATTAAACTTCTCTTTCTGGTATTTTATTATGAAGTAATATAATAAAGATATCGTCTCCCAGTTTATATCAATTGGTATAAGATTTTTATAAAACAATGTGTAAACAATTCTATTCGGGCAGAAATAAAACAGAAAAATTCTGAAAAAACTCACAAATAATTAGAAAGTGGAGCATTTAGCTTTTGAATTAAAACAATTCTGAAAAAGTGACCAATAGTTAGAAATCGGAACATTTTAGGTTTTGAATTGTTTTAACGTACTAATAATCAAGTGCCGAGCACCATATTAATGAAAGAATGCACCCTTGTTGTCAAATGGGTTTTGGTAATTGCTTCATAATATTTTGCATCTTCTGACAACAGTTTTAAGTACTGATGTTAGCATCAGTTGAAGATAAAAGTTGTTCTGGGGCAGATCCTGAAAACAAAGCCATCGAAAATATATATATGTGTGTGTGTGTCAAAAAGATTCACTTCGCCAATGATGTAGATCATGAGTAGATCTCTGATTGACACTTTTCCAAAGAAACAAGAGATAATAAAATGAACTATCTACAACTTTGATCGATAATGTATGCAAAGTGATCATGCATGGCATGCAAATGAATAACGGTAGTTTCATTAGGATAAAAATCTTTATAACTAATTACATGGATAATTTCCATTAAATTATTTGACAGCATTAGGGACGGATGGTGTGAGGATTTAATTCGGATGTTGGCAAATCCTAAATCTCTATAAAAGTAAAAATAAAGTGAACAAGTGATAAATAATCAACTACACATAAACACAAGATTTATAATGGTTTATTTTCTATAAAAGAGCTATATCTATTTTATTATTGTGAAATTTCACTATAAAGAAAAAAAATTATAAAAGGCTCTCACAAATTGGCTCTCTTACTGAACCTCTCTTTAGTGGGTCTCATTATTCTTTAACTGTGGTCTTATAAATTATATAAAGTCAGAAATAGATAGTAGGATAATTATTGAAAAGAAAATGTTTTTAGTAGGGTCAGCAGGATCATAACTCTTTTTTATTGAACCACACCAACCTTGGGTTCTATCGATATTAAAAAGTCTCAAGGCTTACGAGTATCATAAAGCACCATTATAGCCTTGTAGGCAGCCCTTGAGTTTCTAGTGATGTGCATTTTATCAGTCAGCCGTTCGTAACTTAGCCCAATAACGTTGTCCATTAATGAATTCGATTGCTAACTTTCTTAAATGCATGCTAATAAGCTCAATTCTTGTATCTGCATTAATGGAAGTAGAAGCTTTATGTAATAAACCATTTAACCTTCAATTTTTTAAAATAATTCTTTCATGTGTGGATCGAAAAAGAAGTTATAATTAATTTCATCCTGTACATGCAAATTCCTTGAAAGTTCATAAACTTGTTAAGTATAGTATGTTTCTTTCAATAATTTTCTCCATTTTGATTCCCGCCATACTCAATACGCATCTGGTATTTTCTCATTTCCCGGTTAAGGCAAAGAAGGTGCTTCAAATATTCTGACCATGTAATCGATTGCATGCTTTTCTCAAAGATAAGATACCATATATATTTACGCCTTAATTAATCACAACTTGCTAGGGCATTCACTGATGCTTTCTCACACGCGAAAACTTATCGCTGTAAAGGAACAGTTCTAGAGTCAAATGCTCATACACGTTGCCTTAATTTTTCGAGAGGAAAGTAACCATTAACCAGTCAACTAGTAAAACTACTTAGACAAGAAACCAAACACAATTAATATTATTATTCGATGTGCCTTCTTCGAAGAAAGAAGAAAAGAAAGTCAACCAGAGCTATCATTAATTAGGTCAAAGGCTTTTACGGCGGTGGCAACAAGAAAGAATTCATACCATATACAATAGGAGAGATGCTATTCACTCTCACATTTTATTAAACCTCTTTTATCTTTTTTTTTTTTTTTCTTAATTCTAGTTTTATAATTAAATCGGACAAATTAGAAATAACAAATACAGTCGAGACATACAATTATTAAAAAAATCTCTAATTTCCAGCCAATGTCTTCCATGATGATAGTCAATAGAAAATTCAAATGCAAACCCACATTTTACGACGGATGAAAACTGAAAAACAAAAAATGAGTTCATAAATGAAGAGGGGCTAAAACTTCTTCATCTTCTGGAATATGTTCATAATAAGAACCTGTAGGTGAAATGTTGCCGGATGAGATGTATGCCCAAGAATACCTTATATATGCATTTGAATTACAAATCAAGAACTAAGAACACCATAAATTTGCGCTTGCCCATATCTTCCATCGGCATTTCATGCATATCCCAATCCCTTTATAAAATTAACTCAGTTAATTTAATGCTCTCTAAACATACATACATACATACATACATTCATATGTGATTGTCGCTTGGAATTGNCCAATGTCTTCCATGATGATAGTCAATAGAAAATTCAAATGCAAACCCACATTTTACGACGGATGAAAACTGAAAAACAAAAAATGAGTTCATAAATGAAGAGGGGCTAAAACTTCTTCATCTTCTGGAATATGTTCATAATAAGAACCTGTAGGTGAAATGTTGCCGGATGAGATGTATGCCCAAGAATACCTTATATATGCATTTGAATTACAAATCAAGAGCTAAGAACACCATAAATTTGCGCTCGCCCATATCTTCCATCAGCATTTCATGCATATCCCAATCCCTTTATAAAATTAACTCAGTTAATTTAATGCTCTCTATACATACATACATACATACATACATACATTCATATGTGATTGTCGCTTGGAATTGTTATTCTTTCAGTCCATGCCTTTGGTAATCTATTAATATATATTATTGTCTTCTTGATTTACAAGCAAAGTATAAAATCTTTAGAAGTGTTTGAAATTTTAGAGAGCGTCGTTCCTCCAACAAATTGATTATCATATATTCACAATCACAAATCTACTATATAGTTCACAATAAGAGATTGGAGACTAAGAAAATCTAACAACAAAGAAATTCTTTGGAGCACTATAGGAACAGGAGTCTTCTGGTTCATATAATTCATTAGTTTTCATTTCGTAGTTATTGATTGACTTTATTACAAAAATTAATTGTTTTTTATTTTCTTAACATATATAATTACATATTAATTATAAGTACAAACTGATGATCATAGGATGAAAAATTTTACTTCGTACACTTATAGATTTTATCAAGGTAAAAAATAAATATTAGTTGAAGTCATGATTTATGATTTTATAATCATAAACTCCTACTTCATTCAAGAGTAACCTCTTTAATTGTTGGGCAGTGCATGCTGTAAGTTTTCTTTTCCAGTTGACATGAACAGTTATTTAAAGTACATAATATATTAGTTGAGATGTGTGTAAACTAACTAGGATACCCTGATTACTAAAAAAAATGTACATAATTCATAATAATTAAAGGAAGGATCGTTTGTTTGTAAATGGCATGGTTTAAGGATGGAATATAACTGGGCAATGGGCATAATGTGGAAGTATAGATGCCACTACATTAATTCTTGATTCCTTCTATTTTCTTTAAAAATTTTATATATTCTGTAGTAGATGCCGTCTCTTTATTGGAGCCTCAAATTGTACCCACATGGTAGGATTGTTGGTTAGGCTGCGGAGGTGGTTTCCTGATCTCCTTCACTTACCCTTTTAAGTGAAGGAGACACAAATATATAATATGGAAAGAATCAATTGACTACAAATTTTCTATTTCGTTTTCACATTTTGTACCTTTTAAGATATATAAAATTACGTCTCTAGTGAAAGAAGACTAATATTGGTTTTAATTTTGGAAGGATCTGTCCACAAATTAAAAGAGTTATAATAACTCATAAATAAATTGTTATTTTACAAACTTAACTATTACTCCCCCCGCCCCTCTCTCTCTCTCTCTCTCTCTCTTAAAAAAAAAAAAAAAAAAATTTGCCTATTGTTATATTCACCATGGAACTTTTTGAGCATGTTCCAATTGGAAAGAATATTACCTCATTTTCGGTCTTCATTCATCAAGCTTGACTTACACCTGTCACTCACCGGTTATTAGTTCAGTCATGTTGGATTTTTCAACCTAATTATTATTGATTTACAAGCAAAGTTAAATCCTTGGAGATGCCAGGAACGCTTCAAAGAGACGGTCCTTCTTGCTAAAGCCCTCCAATCAGAACTACTATACATAGTGCACAAACAGATTCTTGTAGCACTATAGGAGTCTTCTCCTTCATATAATTAATTACTTTTCATTCTATATATATAATAACTCTATATTTAATTTGTCATATTAATTAGTAATACTTGCAAGTCAAAACTTGTTCTCCAAGAATGTATTTCAACCAAAGAACTAACATTTTTTTTTCTTTTTGTATTAAAGAAACTATTTTTGTAAATTCGCTATGATAAATTACGAGGGTACTTGTTGAACAAAGATGGTTGAGTTGTGTATTCAAAAGAAAACGATTATTATGCTACCAAATAACTGATCCTCTCTATAAATAGATGGAGTTTGATTTAACTGGACACATCTTAATTGAAATCACTTGTTTCTTCTTATACAGTTACGTTGTTGTTCTGCTTCTTACAGCCAGTTTCACAAATATCAGGGAGGATATACAAGGTAGAGTCTGATGACTTAATTATGTTTTTGTTTATTTTTAAAATAAATTTCATCAAGGTAGAGTGTAAGTTGCTTCAAAAGGCTTAATATATTTGTGTTTTTTTCCTTTTAAAGGCAAAGATGGGTGACAAGACTGCTAACCAGATTCAGTTTCCATTGACTTGCATCCTCAAGGCGGCTCCAACTCTAATTCCTCCAATGATATGGCCGCCGCAAGCCAACAGGTAACTTTCTTTTTACCTTTCTCAAAGGATGCATGTAATAACAATATTAATCGTTTAATTTTTCCGTTCAATTTCTTTTCCTGAAAGTATGTTAATTGTGTTTTCAATCATCAGGAACTACTGTGTGGGCTGCAGTGCTCATATATAACGGCACTTATGGGGTCTGGAGTTTTGTCCTTGGCTTGGGCCACCGCTCACTTGGATGGCTTTTTGGACCAATTGTCATGCTCTGTTCTCTCTTGTCACTTGCTACTTTCCCTCTTTTTGCTGCTGCTGTTTGCTGCCCTTCTGGGGACCTAGTCACTGGCAACACAAACGACACTTACATGGACATTATTCGATCCAAACTTGGTAAATTTCACTTTACGTTAGTGAAAGTATTGATCAAAGTTACAAATTTTTTATGGAACTTTTTGTTTTAAAACTTAAATATCTTACCCGTTAGGTTTTTACTTTTCTCAGGTGGGATTACGTTCGAGATATGCAGAGTTGTTTATTACATGAGCCTTTTCGGTGTTGCCAGTGGCTACACTGCGAATTCTGCAAGCTTAAAGTGAATTCTATTTTCTTTCTTCATTCTTCACTATTCTTCCGAGAAAGAACTTCAAATAAGATTTTTTTTTTTTTTTTTTTTGGTCAATCAGTGCTACCAATGGTCAAGGTGGTTTGACTATGGTGTGACAAGAATCCATTCCATATGAATCAGAAGCAATGGATGATTATTTTCGGTTGTATACAAATTTTTCTGTCTCAAATTTGTGGCTTTGGAAGTTACGGCGGCTCTCCATTTTTGTCACCGCCGTCACGTCCTTCACTTACTCAATGATTGGTTTTTGGTCTTAGCATAGCTATAGGTTCAGGTAACTCAATAGATATAACCAAGTTTGAATTATTCCATTTGATGGAAAGTTTGCTTCAAGAAATCTGACTTTTTGCATGATTTAATTAACAGAAACGGGAAAATTCAGGGGAAGTTTAACTGGTATAAGTTTTGGAGTGTTACTGAAACCCAGAAGATATGGAGGACATTCCAAGCACCTGGAGTTGTTGCGTTTGCCTATTCTTACTTTACCATCTCATTGAAATTCATGTATTTTTTCGTTTCTTTCTCTTTTTCTTTTTTTATTACCTTAAACAACAAAAAAAAAAAAAAAAAGAGAGAGAGAGAGAGAGAGAGACAAAGAGTATATACCTCTATAATCAAGAAAATAAAAATCTAGTTCCATTCTAAAGTACATTTTGGGCCCCAAAATATGCAAAAATTCTTAATTTGTTTACATATTTATTTGACCCATGTATTTTTTACTTTTCATATACCAACCCCGAATTGCCAAATTTTGGAACGGCCGCTGATCAAGTGCATTAGCCAACGTAAATTGAGCCAGAGTAATCTTGGTTCACATGATTATGATAATCTAAATTTGAAGATAGAGATAGTGATTTATTTAATTTCTAAATATACCCCAATTCACTCTATATATATATATATATATATATATAAACTCCCTCTGTTTTTAAAAAAATGATGTTTTAAGGGTTTAAATTTTTTTCAAATTAAGTGTCGTCGTCTTGTCTATGACATATCCTCTCCTCTCATCTCCTCTCTCTCTCTTTCAAACGTCATTTAACATCATTACTTTTTCTTCATTGCATTTCCCACCACATTTTTAAGAGAGAAGCAAATAAGAGATGGAGTAGGAGAGAGAAAAAAATTTTACATTAAAAAATTAATTTATTAAAAACTATGCAATTGGTTAAAACTACTTTTATTTCAGAACGGATGGAGTATTATTTATTTATTTATTCTTTTACAAAAGGGTTGGTGAACAACTTGTATACATGATGATTAAGAAAATGAATCTAGTGGCATTATGTATATAAAGTGAAGTGATCCACCTTTTTTATTATCACTTTATATCAATTGACATTTAGCGGGTTGATTTTGTATACAAATTCACCTATTTATTTTCTGTCACATCATATGTAAGAAAGAGTTTGTATAAAGAATTCATACATTTAATATTATTATTTTTTATCTTGGTTTTTCAGTATTTACCATTGAAGCAGGATTATCTCTTACTAGTAGAGGTTTCCGTGATTCATGACAAATAATCTTAACCAAAAAAATTTATGAACCAAAAGCTTGAGTGATTCATATATATATATATGTTTCAAATTATTAGAAGGAATATTAATTTGAAACTTGATATATATTAATTATGAAGAGGAGGTTTCTTTAACGAAATTAGTGAGGGTAAATTGCATCGTTAATTGCTTCTGAAACTAATACGAGCAATTTGTACATGATCACAGGACGCGATCAAGTCTTCCCCCACAGAAGCCAAAACAATGGAGAAGGCATCAGTAATAAGCGTTGGAATAACAACTCTTCTTTACATGCTCTGTGGCTGCTTCGGCTATGCTGCTTTCGGTGACTCATCGCCTGAAAACCTCCTCAGCGATTCAGGATTGCATCAACCTCTTTGGCTACTTCAGATAGCCAATGTCGCCATAGTTATCCACCTTCTTGGAGCCTACCAAGTACCCCTCTTCGCCTTCATCGAAAAACAAGCTTCTAAAAGATCCCCAAATTCTACGTTTATCGACAGAGAGATTAAAATCCCAATCCTGGGATTTGGGCCATGTAATCAGACCTTGTTCCGGTTGGTTTCGAGGACAGTTTTTGTGAGTATAACCACTGTGATATCAATGCTCCTTCCGTTCTTCAACGACGGGGTTGGTCTCCTGGGAGCCCTGGGATTTTGGCCATTCACAGTCTACTTTCCTGTTGAGATGTATATAGTGCAAAAGAAGATAAAAAAACGGAGTGCAAATTGGATTGGCCTCCAAATCCTAAGTTTTGGTTGCTTCATTATCAGCATCGCTGCTGCTACTGGCTCCATTGCAGGACTTGTCTCGATCTCAAGTCTTTTCAACCTTTCAATTCCGCAACCTGACTGATCCTCATTCATCAACATTTTCAAAGAGATTTAATTAATCTTAGGAACTCTATTTGTGGATTCATACACATATACAAAGAATAAAGTGGCCATATTAATAGCATCAAGATCATGCTGTTAGTGTTACTGGGCATGTAGCAATGTGCGCGTGTAATGAAGCACCAGCATGTCGCCGGCCTCTTATGTAATTTTGCAAAATATTTTACATAAGCAATGCTTGTTTTTTTATTTGTACTTGATGGGTTTTTATTCTTCATATACACATACTATCATCTAATAAAATTCTGAGCTTCGGGGGAGCTTTAATACAATGTTTCGGAGCCACTTGCCTTTCTTTTCAAGGTTGTTGGATTGCAATATATTCATTATCAATAATTAATCTAAATAAAAATTTTAAGAACATTTCTACAAGAAAAAAAGAAAAATAATTCGTGACCCCCAGAGTCTGACGACACTCTACGCGGGGAGTTTTGAAAAGCAAATCCTCACAAACAACTTCTCCCTTCGCTCCCGCATGCATAAACTGCCATTAACAACCAAACTACAAACATAGCATAAGCCCTCAACATGGGCACAACTCCAGCTCTTCTCTGTGTAAACCCCGCCTTCTTTTTAACCCTAAAACCACAACCTCCTTCTCAACGCACAGCTCTTCTCTCTACCAAACCACTTACCTCCGTGTTCCGCTTCTATTCATCTCCCTCTTTTTATTCACTCCAACGGTGCCGTTTCTGTCATATTACACCTGTTGCTGCATCTGTTAAGGTGCGCTGATTTGTCTTTTAGTTTCTTTTATTAATTGTTGTTTGCCCATCGCGTGTTTGATGATATGCTTGTGTGTTGTGTATTATCTATTATTGTTTTAGGAGAATTTGGGTGTTGTTCAAAAGACTTTGAGTGAGTTTACGAGTTTGAACAATTGGGTTGTGAGGGATTATTATCGTCTTGTTAGAGATGTTAATGCGTTCGAGCCACGGATTCAGAATCTCCCAGATGAGCAGGTTTTTATTTTGACATTCGTTTTCAGTTAGTTTTAGTACTTCTATTCCAGTTATTATAATAATGGGCTGTGTTTGTTCTTTATAGTTGACTGCAAAAACTGCCGAGTTTAAGAGAAGGTTGAGACGGGGAGAGACACTAGCAGATATTCAAGCGGGTCAGGACCTGTAAAGTTCAATTTAAAAGTTTTGGATTTTTATATGAAGGTTATTCTTCTGTTTTTATTTTATTAAATTACTTTTTCAATTTCTTTTATAGAGGCTTTTGCTGTTGTTCGAGAAGCTGCTAGAAGGAAGCTTGGTATGCGCCATTTTGATGTGCAGGTCTCTCTTTCTCTGTCTATGCATATGCGTATTTATGTGCATGTGAACATGCAATCCCCATATATTTTGTTTAGAATTTACATGTGCATACGTTTGATCACATACATACACATATTATAAATATGTCTTACTGTCGGACTGGGAGTTTGTTGTTATCTAAAAGTAGGTTTCAGTGTTCCTTATGCTTGTAAATTTTAATTTTAGATTATTGGTGGAGCTGTGCTTCATGATGGGTCCATTGCTGAGATGAAAACCGGTGAGGGAAAAACATTGGTGTCTACATTAGCTGCATATCTTAATGCCCTGACTGGTGAGGGTGTTCATGGTATGTTGTCTATCCTGGACTCTTAGAAGGTGGCTGCTTTCCTGCAAACAGCTAAGATTGGTTATTTTCTGCCAAAAAAAAAAAAAAAAATGTTAATGCTTTTGAAGTTATAAAACATTTTTGCAAAGTTATCTGTGTACAATTGAGATATTTTGGCTGATTAGATTGTTATGATCGGAAAACTGAAACTTATGTTGTAGTCGTAATGATTTTGAGGTATGCAAGTTTATAAGATATTTATACTCAAGTTTCATATCATGACCAAAAGTCAATCTTAAGTTTTTTTCCTCTTTAAACAAGCTGATTGAATGAGTTTGCTGGATCTTGAAGGCACATTTAATGTTAATATGAAATGACAAACTATTATAGGGTTGGCATGTGAGTTAGCAGATAAGCTTTTAATGGATATAAAGGGTATGGTGATTAAAAGAATACTAAGGGACAACATTTGTAGGTACTTTTAGGCTCTCTTAATACTGATAATCAAATTCTTGGTAGGTCACTTGAATGCCTTTGTTGTTGGAAGCCTAGTAGAGGTGATCTTGTTAGTTTACATTACAATTGCATGAGAATTGAAGTTCAGTATGCTGCTCTGTATCATTTTAAGTTAAGTCTGATGGCACTACATTCTCTTTTGACAGTGGTAACTGTTAATGATTACCTGGCGCAGCGTGATGCTGAATGGATGGGTCGAGTTCATCGCTTCCTAGGTCTTTCAGTTGGTCTTATTCAGGTATATAAATTCATTGGAAAGTGAGATATGCTAAAAATTGTTTTCCCATAACAATTAGCTAGGAATATAAGTGCCGGAGGCTGATTTCCCAGAATCTTCTTGTTTGTGCAGAAGTTGTAGGTTTTAACCACGTTATAAACACATAAGTACCCTGCAAATTATCATAACTTATAACTGTTACTGCTTGCATATGTAGCGAGGGATGACAGCTAAAGAGAGGAGATCCAACTACCAATGTGATATAACATACACGAATAATTCTGTAAGTCATTCCTAATCGTGTTGTGCTTCAGTGCATTTTACTGCTAGGTACTCAGGGGTTTCTTTTTGGGTTTAATGCTGGGCACTTGGTGCCTTGTTAACTTTAGCTTGCTGCACATATTGTTGATCCTAAATATTGTTCTGAATGTCCTCAGGAACTTGGCTTTGATTATTTACGAGATAATCTTGCTGCAAACAGTGAAGAACTTGTGATGCGATGGTATGTGTTAAGAAACTGTTCAGAATTTGTTCTTATTTTCTTTATTGGACTACTAGTGATGCACATTGAAAAAACAGGCCGAAGCCATTTCACTTTGCAATAGTTGATGAAGTTGACTCTGTACTTATTGATGAAGGAAGAAATCCACTGTTAATAAGTGGCGAGGTAAATTGTGGTTGCTCGTTGGGTGGCTATTCTTTATTTAATGATTTAAAATTTATATGGCCACTATTTCTAGAATCTACTAATAATCAGCAGCACTGAAATAGCTTGGAATCTTTTGGAGGAAAACTGAAGTTGGAATTAACTCGCTAGTAATCTCTCTTCTCTTTCTGTATACCAGGCTAGTGAAGATGCTGCACGATATCCTGTAGCTGCTAAAGTAGCTGAGCTGCTAGTCCGGGACATCGTAAGTCCAGTCAATTGTATTCATGTTCAGTTAAACTATAAGATTTGCTGCCCTTTAGCTGACTTATAGACTAACAGAGTTACTATATATAGAGCATTTATATGATTTTTGATAATATGTTCTATTAATCAATTGGGTGACAGCATTACAAGGTCGAGCTTAAGGATAATTCAGTGGAGTTGACTGAGGAAGGAATAGCACTTGCTGAGATGGCACTTGAAACAGATGATCTATGGGATGAAAATGATCCCTGGGCAAGGTGAATACGTTTCTCTTAGTTTTGCTGTCAATCTGTTAATTTGTTGTTATAGTGGTCTTAATGTAGGAAGAGCTTCTACATATCCTTTTTAAATTCTTTCAAATGTTTTTTCCTTGATATTGTAATTTTTGATGCATCATGTGTTAATGTTGGAAACATAACGTGGTTGACTTAATGTGGGAAGAGCTTCAACATGTGTCCAAAACCGACTTAAGTTGCACCCATAATTATTTCAATTCTCAGCTATATGGTTATCATTGATGCATTGCAGATTTGTAATGAATGCACTGAAAGCTAAAGAGTTTTATCGGCAGGATGTACAGTACATAGTTAGAAATGGGAAGGCTCTGATAATAAATGAGGTAATAAGAAACCTTGTACCATCTGTTATTCACAATGTTCATTATGTTCTCTTGTCATTTCTTTTCACCCTTTTTTATTTTATTTTATCTATACATTTTTTGTACTTCAATAAGCAATATTATTCCTATTTCAAAACATGTACGTGTTATGATTTACATGTTGTTTGTCTTCACTTTTGATTGTTGATATTCCATTGTAAATGATAATACGCTTTTGGCTTAGATTAACATTTGCTTGCTCAGGCATTAAAAAGAATGGTTATGTTTCATATCTATATTAGATTGAGAGGTTTTGGGACTGGAGAAAGAGGCATTCCCTCCCTGGCCTCATGAATAATATCCCATTATTTGGCTATTTGGCTTTTAATATGACAGTTTGTTCCAGAATCGGTCAAGGATTGAATTGTAAAACCCAACTTTCAATGATGAGAAATCATGAGACTGGGATAAAAATATAGCTATTTAGATATGAATCATTTATGTAAAAGCATGCACATTATGAGGTATTATATTATATTCTCATGATAGTATGGTTGTGATATTTCTGCAGCTGACAGGCAGAGTTGAAGAGAAAAGGAGGTGGTCAGACGGAATTCACCAGGCTGTAGAGGCTAAAGAAGGCTTGAAGATTCAGGTATATTTAGTTGTTTGGGAACTGGTTCATTTAGTTTATTCCCTACAATTGCACCGAATGTAAATCTTGCTTCTCTAGTTCAGATAAGTTCAAAAATGTTGTTCTCTGGTTAGGCCGATTCAATTGTTGTGGCGCAAATCACTTATCAATCATTGTTTAAGCTCTACCCAAAGCTGTCAGGGATGACTGGGACTGCAAAAACTGAAGTAAGGACAATGGAATAAAATCTCACATTCTCTAAATATTTCTGCTAAATGGTCGCTTAACAAATAATTATGCTGCTGTTCTTTTTTGCTTTATGTGATTCCAGGAGAAGGAGTTCTTGAAAATGTTTCAGATGCCAGTTATTGAAGTGCCCACAAATCTGCCAAATATTCGTATAGATTTACCCATACAAGCTTTTGCTGTAAGATACAATATTTGTTGTTCGTTTTTGGAAGAAATTATCTTCTGATAATTTGTCTCCTAATGAATGTGACTTCAGCTTTGCATTCTGCATTTTCTCAGACTGCCCGTGGAAAATGGGAATATGTTCGTCAAGAAGTTGAATACATGTTCAGATTGGGTCGCCCTGTTTTGGTTGGGACCACTAGGTAATCTGTAGGCCCTGATTTTAAAATCTTATGCTAGGTATGGGAAATACTTCATGTGGGCATATTATCACATCCTTACATCTAGGAGATAATAAATTTTCTAGGGTTTTGCACCGTCTAATACGTAAATCCAGAACATTTATATGTTGTTATTTTTTCTTTTTTCCCTTATGTCTATGTTTAAATGATCTAGAAGTCGTCGATTTGGCGGCTGATTTTGTATCTTTTTCCATCATATGAACACCCCAGCGGCTCTAAATTTTAGTAAGTCTATGCATTTAGGAGGTGCAAAATCAATGGCTATCCCATATTTTTGGGTCAGTTGTCTTGTCAGATTCATTGTGCTGAAAAATGTGAATTTGTGTTGATCCTTCGGCCGATGAAAAGGAGTATAAGTTTGATAGTATTTTATTAAGGAATTTATATTGTAATGGAAAAAACTACTCCATGGTGCTTCTCCCCAGTTCAAAATTTATAGAAATCATAGCATACAATGGAGAGAGCCAAAGTATGGTCGCATGTCTCTTTTCTGCATTTTAATAGTTCAGAATACAAACAGCATTGCCATGCTAAACAGTGCAACTTTTACTATTACCCTTAGAAGGGATGATATTTCAATATATGTGCAATCATTTTACAAGACCTTTTATCCTTGTCATTTGTCCCATTTAGGTAACACAGTTCATTGTTTCTTATCATTCAATGCTAAGTATTAAGGTTTTAAGTATGACTCATTCAATTTCTTTTTTCCATAAACCTGTTGAGAAAGTCACTCTAATAGCTAATTTGTATTGTTGAGTTTTCATAATTAAGCAGGTTAATTACTACAATGTCTACTCTTCTTGATGCAGTGTTGAGAATTCTGAATATTTGTCGCACCTGCTAAAGCAACGGAGAATCCCCCACAATGTCCTAAATGCGAGACCCAAGGTTTTTTAACTTTAAGTCTTGAAGCAAAATTTGCCTATTGGGCTGTTATATTTATTCAAAATCATATTTATTTTCGAAAGAATTCATTAATGTTATGTTTTTCAGTTTTTTTCCATTCTTGTTTCCTCAGTATGCTGCAAGGGAAGCTGAAATTGTTGCCCAAGCAGGGCGAAAATATGCTATTACAATTTCTACAAATATGGCTGGTAGAGGAACTGACATAATACTGGGAGGAAATCCAAAGGTAGGTGTTCATGTTAGATGATCTATTTCATTCTTTATCTCACTAAGGAAATATGTGTCCTACCATTGTTTCTGGAAAAGGACACCATGGTAATTTGTGTTTGTGCATAATTCTCATCCATTTTAAATTTGTACTATCTTTTGGAATATTCCTTTGATGTTCAGTAGGATTGACTCCGTACTCTGGTTGTTATATATCAAGATGCTCGCAAAAGAAATTATAGAGGATAGCTTGCTTTCGTTTCTCACACGAGAAGCTCCTGATTTCGAAGTTGATGACAAGGCAATCTCACAGAAGGTAGTTAGTTGGATTACTGTTAGCTGCCAAATAGTTAAATTGTGATTCTAATTTATCTATTTGTGTAGGTTTTGTCAAAGATAAAGGTTGGATCATCATCATTAGCTTTGCTAGCTAAGGCAGCATTGATGGGTTTGTAATCTTTAAAAGCGCTATTCTAGTTTAATAATTAGAGTGAATGATTTTATGGTAATCTAGATGTTCCTCTTATCTTTCTCACGTGAATCACTCAGCTAAATATGTTGGTAAAAGTGAGGGTAAGAACTGGACATATCAGAAGGCAAAATCAATGATCTCAGAGTCTGTGGAAATGAGTCAGTCAAAGGATTTGGAAGAGTTACAGAGGCTTATTGACGAACAGTCTGAAATGTACCCACTTGGCCCTACCATAGCACTGACTTATCTCTCAGTTCTAAAGGACTGTGAAGTTCACTGTTTCAATGAAGGGTCTGAAGTTAAAAAGCTTGGGGGGCTTCATGTGATTGGAACATCTTTGCATGAGTCTCGAAGAATAGATAACCAGGTGAGTCTTTGAATGCAGTAACAATTTAGTGAGATCAAATTTCAAATCTAATTATGCATTTAATTAGTTTATTGAAAGTATCTTTCTCAGTTTAATGATGAAAGTGTTATAAACTTAGTTATCAAAATGAAGAAAAATCCTTTTCTGACTTATCAATGTAGAACTGCCAAAGTTTCTGTGTTTTTAAGCATTGATTTCTCCATTTTTTTAGCTTTCAAGCATGAGTCAATTCTTATCTATCAAACATTATATCATATAAATTGTTATATATTATTATTTACATGATATACTGAAAATATAAATGTATTTTGATGAAATAATTTTCTGGAAAAAATATAATGTCTGTCAATCAATCAGGTAATTAGTTGCTTATTCAAGAGGCTTTGAATCCATTCATGGTCATACGGACTCATTTTGTTTAAGTTCAAATAGGCTAAATTTTTTTTCTCCATCACGGCTTTTCATGTTGGTTTGGCTAATAGTTAGTTTCAATTTTCTTTCAATTTACTCTCATATGACAAAACAACCAAATGCTTGTGTGAGAAAGTTAAAAAAGGAACAAGTGTTTATTGAAGTGTTATTAAATTAACTAGAATTTGATAATCGGAGAATGAAAGAAATGATATTTTGCTCTTTTATACTTCCTATTGATTGAGTTTTTTTTTTTTTTTTTCAATTTTTTTGGTAAGATCTTTTTTCTGTCAGTTTCACATCTTATTTGGTTTGAGATTAATGGAACTACTGGTTCCTTGCACCTTTGACAGCCAATTTGCACTCTCGAAGCTCCACTGTTAATTAAGTATTATATTTCTTCCTTTCATATTTTGCTTTAAAGCTCAGACATAGTTCTAATTATTTTGTGACAATGACCCTTCATAGCTTCGTGGTAGAGCTGGAAGGCAAGGTGATCCTGGATCAACACGGTTTATGGTGAGGTATTGTGCTTGATGATTTATTTCTCCTGATTAAAAATTGAGAATACTTGCTAGATCAGTGTAGCTAAGTTTTAAAGAGTAGGGAGACACGGCCTGTTAAAATTAAAATACATGTTGCACTTCCCATTATCTTAAGTTTTTGGTTGAGTTGTAATTTTGCATAGTAAACTAGTTCTACTACCAGTAGATAACCACTAAACTTCAAAACTTAGACTAATTGGTGACTGGAAAGGGTCCAACAATAGCACTTAAGCTCTAGCATACATCTCACTCTTTCATGGAAATAATTGCTGAAGTGTTTATGTGACAGCTTGCAAGATGAGATGTTTCAAAAGTTTAATTTTGATACTGAATGGGCTGTGAAACTTATATCAAAGATTACCGATGATGAGGATACACCAATTGAGGGTGATGTGATTTTAAAGCAGGTAATGATGTAGCTCATGTTCATGATGTTTCAAGTTTTTCTCTCTCTCTCTTTTTTTTTTTTTTTTGGGTAATTCTAAACCATTGTTGGTAAAAATTACTAATTTGAAGCATCATGGATTTTAGCTTTTGGCCCTGCAAATCAATGCAGAGAAGTACTTCTTTGGCATAAGAAAGAGCTTGGTTGAGTTTGATGAAGTCTTAGAGGTATGTGTTTAAATATGATAATGCTTCATTTGAACAACCTACCAGAATTATTTAGAAGAAATGGGTCATAAATGAACTTATTAGTAGTTGCTTGCTACCTTTGTTAACTTCTGATCTGAAGTTTCTACAGTGAAGAACCGGGAAGTAGATTGCACCACATATTTTAGATGAGAGAAAATGATGACATTATAAATTCCCCAACTTATGCTTCAACTTTCTTTTTTCATATATGAAACTAGAATGAGTTGAACTCTCCATTTTGTTCATTGTTTTTATCTATTATTTCATTGAGCAACTAAGAAAAGGCATACGTTTTAATCTGAAATTGAATCCTTTGATTACAAATCATTGATCATCAGCACAATCATTTTTTTAATTTCTCGTGTTAGGTTCAAAGGAAGCATGTCTATGACCTTAGGCAATTGATTTTGACGGGTGATAATGAGAGTTGTTCCCAACACATCCTCCAGTGAGTTCCTAAGTTCTGTTTCCTGAATTTGGTTGCTACTGCCTTGGTGAATGCATGAATTTTTCCTCAGTGTTTCTTCGTACATGAAAGTCTGTAACTTCCTCAGCAATATAACAGCAAATTTATTGCAGCGTTGTGCTTACACACACACACACACACACACAAAAGGTATATAGTTGAAAACATTGTGTTATAAGACTTTGTGCTGTTTTCTTTCTTATTGCTTCCTTTTCTTCTTTTTTTGTGCCAGGTGAATGAACAATTTTACATTTATTTGTGAATGTTTCTTTTTTAATAAGAGACATAGTTACAAATTTTTATTTCTATTAAAAGAAAGCTGCTTGATAGGTACATGCAAGCAGTGGTAGACGAAATTGTCTTCGGAAATGTTGATCCACTGAAGGTCAAATTTATTTCACTTTCCATTTACCCAAAAAAAAAAAAAAAAAAAATTATTTCACTTTAGAATGATGTAGATTATTCACCAATTCGTACTAATTGCCCCGAATAATTCTCCTTATAGCATCCGAGACACTGGAGTTTGGATAAGCTTCTGAAGGAGTTTATCACAATTGGAGGGAAGCTATTGCATGGTGAGCTGATTTTATATTTTTAATTAACCATTGAATATGTTTGATGGCATATATGACTGATGCAATTCCTCATTGATTGAATTTTCCCAGGCTCATTTTCAGGGATCAGCGAGGAAGCCTTACTGAAATCTCTTGCACAGCCACATGAATTGACCATAGATATAAACAACTTTTACTTTCCAAATTTGCCAAAGCCTCCAAATTCCTTTAGAGGAATACGTAAGAAGAGCTCTTCATTGAAACGCTGGCTTGCTATTTGCTCTGATGATTTGACCAAGTGAGTGCAATCTTGATGATGCATATATATTTGGGCATTGCGTTTTTTTACTGAATTCCTGACATTGCTACAGGGAGGGAAGGTACAAGGCAAACATTAATCTTCTGCGCAAATACCTTGGAGATTTTTTGATAGCTTCATATTTGGATGTTGTACAAGAATCTGGTTATGATGATGTATATGTAAGAGAAATTGAGGTGATATTTTAGTTTGACTGCTCTCAGTTTTATACACCACAAACTTCATTGCTGACTCAATTTATGGATAGAAGAATATCTTCTTAGCCTCTATATACCAAAAACATTGTAACTGCTCAAAATCACTATAAAAATTTGAGGCAAACAAAATCATCCCAAGGTCTGTTCCTAACAAAACTGATGAACAGAAAAGTGCCTCGAAAATTTAGAAAAAGAGAATAATGAGGTTTTTTTTTTTTTTTTTCTTTTTTAGTATTGATTAGTCCTTGGAATAATTGTCGATTGTTGTTTAGCTTGCTTTTCAGAAGTTTTGCTTTCTTGCTTTATAAATTTCCTTTTGCAAATACAGAGGGCAGTTCTTGTCAAGACTCTAGATTGTTTCTGGCGAGATCATCTTGTAAATATGAACAGACTTAGCTCAGCGGTATGTTTTGTCATATTATCTTGTGTATGTGACATGATTTGGCTTTATTAGGCATGTAATTATGAGGAATGTCTATCAGGTAAATGTAAGAAGTTTTGGGCACAGAAATCCTCTTGAAGAATACAAGATTGACGGGTGTCGATTTTTCATCTCGATGCTCAGTGCAACCAGGAGGCTTACTGTAGAAACACTCTTGCTGTATTGGTCATCCCCGATGGAGTCCCAAGAACTATTCACATCATAATAGCTGATTGTTTGTCACACTAAAGGTTAGTAATTTTTCAGCCCAAGTGTCTAGTCCATATCAGATATGGATTCTTTTGAGCTTGTTTCGGTGTTTGTTCTCATAGCATCCAAACTAGCGAGTTTGACATTTCTTGATTTTTATTGTCAGAAATTGGAAAAGAAAATTTCTTCCCTTTATCAGTTTGGTTATGGTTTCATGTCATATCCATGATAAGAGCCGTTTTTGGTAAGCAGGATTTTATTGGAATTCATTGAGTCTTCATCCACTGGATATGTAACTTTGCATTCAGATTGAATGAAGTCATCACCCAAAGAAACTTGGTTTCAGTCTTCGTAGCACTCTGTGCAGTAAACTATAAAAGTTCAAGCCAAGTTTCCTCCGATAAGTACATGACTTCAAGCATTCAATCATATGATAATTTTTGTAAGGCTACTTGTTCTTTGGCTGACATGGGTGATTAAGGGAGTTCAGAATATATATACCAACACTGTATATATCAACTTCGAATTGGATAACTTCATTACTTCAAGGAAACATAATCTGCATACTGGTGGTACTGTATAGAGGTAGAGCAACAACTATGCAAGTGACCTAAATTGACTCATCCCATTTTAATATCATATAGATTTCTTGACATTTATATATGCCCATCTTGTATTTTCACACAATTGAAAGTCATTTTACTGCAATTGATTATATTATGCAGTCAATTTTATCTGAGTTACTCTTATTCAAACTTCTTGTCTAATTTTCAGAGTTTTGATGTTGATGTTATGAGATTTCAATATTCTAAAGGATACGAGATACTGAAATATGGAATAATTCTAATCATTCAGAACGACCAAAGCTCAGCTATTGCTTTATGTAGCCGTGTCTATTATTATTTTATCCTCACAAAATTTTAATTTTGGCCGGCCAATTTCAGACTAGGCAATGTGCGTTCGCTTCAGAGTTTTTCGGTTTTCACACCAAATTGTTCATGATAAAGACTATTCAATAAATTTATAACAGGACTCAATTTTTCTCACATTCGTAACTCTCTTAAAAGAAATTTAATAAATGAAATCTATGCATATATAAGAGAACGAAAACACTGAATAATCAGGCCAAGAGGGGACCAGAGTATGCCATTTTTAGTTATAACTAGAATTAATAATTCTCCTTCCGAAGGATTCAAAACCCAGATTTCCATCTCATTATTGTAGAAAGGTTGGAGATTTGAGCTGTTTCTCCATATATTCAGAAGAATTTATAGATAAGAAACAACGTTAGTACAGTTCCATTATTCTTTTCATGTATGAAGGCATGTTAATTAAAGAGAAAATCTATGAACTATTTCCATTTTGCAAATCAATATTCCTGACAGGTCCCTTGAACCATTTCCTCGCATCCAAGAACCACCATAGCATCACCAGCGTCAAAAGAAGGCCAAGGGCAACTGGTGCATAGTTAAAAGTACTCCAAGTGATGGGATAAAGCGTTGGCAACAGGAAGGCGGAACAAGTATAGCATATCCACAAGAAAGCCACCAAAGATATTGGCCTTCTTGCTCTGCCCAAGTAGAAGGGCCCTGGTTTGAAGTTCTTCTCAGCCATCACCAGCCTCGCAAATATTGGCACGGCGTAGCCACCCACCCACCCTATGGTACTGATGGATATTATGGCTGTAAAGATCACGTCAAGTTTCAAGATGGGCAGGCCGAGAATCATGCTTATTGCTGCACACAGCCACACTGCGTTTCTTGGAACCTTGTGCTTGGGGTGAAGTCTTCTCCAAATTGGCGAAAATGGAATCCCGTTGTCCCTTGATAACGCATAGACCTATAAGCAATGGAAGGAATCATTTTACGCCATGCATGTTCCTTCTCAAAGAAAGATGGAGAGAAGAGAAAGTTTTCTCCTAACCACTCTAGCTGCACTTGCAGTGACTGAAAGTCCACAAAAGAAAAAAGAACCCCAGATGATGCAAAGAAAAATCACAGCACCAGTAGAATTTTGAAACCTGCCATAGAAGGCATCATAGATTATCTGAGCAGGTACAAGTGCGCCACCTGTCTCATTGTTCTCATCATATAGATAAGCCGGATCCTGTATATTGCATCAACACACTCCATTTAAACAAAACTATCAGATACGGTTAAAGAATTGCAAGGCAAATTTCCCTATTTAAGTAACTCTTTGGAGCGTACCCGGATGCTGAAAGTAAGAGCCAAGTTATAAGCCCATCCGAACACTGAAATGATCCCAATGCTAGAAAGAATGGCAATAGGACCAGTTCTGTCAGCAGCTTTAGTTTCTTCAGTGAGATGAGCTGCAGCATCATAGCCGTAGAGACAGTAATTGCTTAGAAGAACTGACAGGATTACTGCATAAGGTCTGCTACTTATTCCAGTCGATTCAGGAGATGTTTCGAAATGAGTGAACACGTATGAAGTCGGTTGTGTTGTTTGCGCCACCAGGGGCAGCATTATAATCACCACCAAACCGCCAATAATCTACAGTTTGTGCTAGTCAAATACTTTAAACATGCTAAAATGCTTTTATGGTGTGAAGCATATTAACTGTGAAATTCATGCAATTAGCGTATAATTACAGTACAAAATTTGTGTACATGGGAGCAAGAATCTAACCTGCCACCAAATGGAAATTATATCGAGAAAAGCAACGACTTGTAAAGAGAAGGTGTTGAGAAATGCCCAGATGAGAGTTAAGCCCATGTACATAGCTAGAAACACACTTCTTGGAGCAAAGTATCCTCCACCTTTGTTTGTTCCAGTTGATAATAGAATGATCATTTGCAATGCCTGTGATCCTGAATACGCCTGACGAACCCCAGAACAACACAAATTAGTTAATGAATGAATCACAGTTTTGATTATGTTTACAACAGAATATGCAAGTAATTCATGTAGATATAGTGCAAGTACCTGTGCGCCAATACCAGAAATTAAACCGATGGTCTCAAGCCAAGCGCAGCACCATGAAGCAAAAGGCCCCCACCTGGGTCCGGCCAAATGTGCAGCCCAAAAGTAAAGGGATCCAGTGGTCTGTTATTACATTTCCAGTATTTACATACATCAAGATGGTGACAATAAGTTACATGGAATCAAAAGAAGTAAAAAATTGAAAGAAATATATATACTGGGAAAGAGGCGCAAATCTCAGCCATGGCAATTCCAACAAACCACGTGAAAAATGTAACCACAACCCATCCCCATATCATACTTGCAGGGCCTGCATACCGCAAACTTGGCCCATACAGAGGTGTTCCGGTAAAAACTGCCATGCTTGAAAATGTAATTGCTAGCGTTTTAAATATACTCTGCAAAACAAATTAATTATAATAAGTTCTTTAGCTCTTGAGCCTGGAAAAGAAAGTACGAACCTATATTAATTTCCTTAAAAAGGAAAGGGAAAGAAAGTTTAACCATTTCTCTTCTCAACTCTTGCTTGTATCCAAGCTCATTGAGACGTTTTTCTCCAGAATCTATTTCCAGAACTTCATGGGCTGCTCCAACTCTTGAACCCATGTTGAAAGCTAGCTCAACACTTACCAAAGTTCGTTAAGTTCACAGAAAAATGAAGTATTAACATGTACTATATGTAATGTAATTTATATATAACGAGTAGCCGGGAAGTGGTAAGACTAAACAATCAGAGGCTGGTTGGTTTGAATAAGTCCCTATATATATATATATATATATATATATACATATACACACACATCTCAAGTCAAGGAGCGACCAAATCGGTCCAATTAAAGCGAGAAGAAAGATAGTGGATGAATGATGATGAGTTGAACTTGACTTGCTCCTGGGAATTCTAAGATGAGATTGAAGTCTTTAATTTTTACAAGTTAATGAATATTATAGTCGTAGAGGTTGCAATAAGATACTAGTAAAGAGTAAACTTTTCTGGGCATTTGCTTTCGTCTCGGCCGGTTGTTGAAGTCCAAGTAGTGAGCGCGAAAACAGCAAAAGCAGTTGACATCTTGGACTTTAGTTACTTAAAAAAAAAAAAAAAAAAAAAATGAGAAACAACTTCAGTTTGAATTTCAACTCCTTGTGATACCCGCAGTCTATTATTATACTCATAAAAACGATCCTATAAATCTTCTATCTAATTAAATAATTTATTCGTCCTATCGATGTTAATTTGTTCTTTTAGTTAAGGAGAGACTATAATCATTTTGGAGGATCTTTCTTTCGTCTTATTATCTCTTTTAACAGTTGATGTTCTTAAAAAGTTTCGACCAGGGAGAGACAAAACAGGTTGAAATATCGAGATAACAAGGTGTTGCTTTCTTTAAGAGTAGTGTTATAAATCTCCTGTCTGTGTTCCAAGTTTTATATAGAAAAAATATTGGAATATCACAAGGCCAAATCATTCATATTACTTTATAGTGAATTTAGCACATTTCAATTTTATACCATTTTTCCATCATCCATGTGATTTATCGAATAATAATTATTTGAGATGTATACATTAATTTGTGGTATCATATCGACAATATAATTGCGGTCTACTAAATATATATAAAAAATGAAAAACTTAAGTTACGTAGCATTACTCTTAACTTAATTATACTTTGTTTTTCGCTTAACACCCTTGGAGTTGGACGGTGGTCAACTATTAGACATCTATTCAAGCGTTTAAATTGGCTAGTAACATTACTTAGTTATAGTAAAAGATAAAGATGTAATAATATATAATGAGAAAAGAAATTATGAAGTGAATCTTGTTTTAAGTTTTATTTATAAGTGTTATGCCATAAAATTCCTGATGTCTGGATTCATGTCACATGTCCTTGCCATAATAGATAAACTTGAATGTTGCGCTGTCACTCAGCTGACTCTCATAAAAATCAAGCTGTCATCAACAAAGGGCCAATTGTCACAACCCCAAGAGGTAATCAGAATTTGACGAAGAACCAATTGCTACACGTTGCAATTTCTTTAAGCCAGCAAGCAGATGATCATTTCATTAAAAAAATAGCAGTATATAAATTGACGGAAAATAGTACAGCAATTGATGACAGTACATCGAATTTGTGTATCGAATACCATAATAAAATTTTGATTGTTGATTAATATTAAATTAAAATTAATCAACAATTAAGATTTTACTACGTCATTCAGTATACAAATACGATACACTACTATAAATGACTGTAACATTACTCATAAATTAACTATTAATACACATAAAAGTAGGGTTAAATAGATAAGAGTGGGATATACAGTCAATCTTGAGTCATTATTTTTCTCCATAAACAAGCATTAACTCTATCTTTATTTACCTTATAATAATATTAGAAAAATAATCAAAGAATAATAAAATAACAGTAAACATAAAACGTACTTATAACATTCTAACAATTCTAAAAATCTCTCATATTAATCTTTTATTTATATTTCTTCAAACACAGGTTATCATCGCATCACAAAGACTACATAATCAACTCACTTATAGATTCGTATAGTTTACATCTGCTTATTCCTTCGTGTCAAAATCACGCGAGAAAAAAAAAAAGTCAGACAAATTTGTAAAAGTCGAAGAACTCATGATTTAAGTTTTAGGCATGTCAGAGTTTATAGCCTTATAGAGTTTGGGATAGCATAACCGGGTTCCTATGGGCCAAGTCCTGCCCAAATATGATGGGCCTACAGATCCACAGTCAAGAGAGAGGCATGATTCATGTAAATTTAGAGGACTATGACACTAATATAAGGACTATTCCTTATCGAAATTCTATTGAGGACAAATTTTTGTTTCACAATTATAAGAATCATATTGAGTACTGTTTTTGAGAAACAGAAATTTCAAAAACATGAAACTCATTGATCAAAAGATAGCATAAAGAATACTTTTCATGAATAACACTCAAAACAATTGTTTTCCTTCTTAAAATTTCTTTAAAACAATTTTTTTTTTTTTTTCGGTGACCGAAGGTATCCAGACTAGCTTATGCGCACCTCAACAAATCTCCTGAGACCCTGAAGTTGACAACCAGATAAACCCCTCAATGACTACCCCTATTAGGGCTTGTAGAGACTCGAACTTAAGAGGTTATAGAACCTCTTTTTGCTCTTTTTTATTATATAATCCATTCTCAACTTAGAAAGTCAAATGTGGAATTTATTGTTTATGTTTCACAAAACCATTTATTGAACAGCCCTAAGTTTGGTCAAAAACAAGAAAAGTAGTTGTACAAAGTTGGGTACTAAATCACCTATGATGCAAGTTTGCATAACTATAAATTTATTGTTAGATTTTGATTATTTAAACTAATGGTCATTAATTAATTTATGAATGGGATTGAAATCAGATAAGTTGTAAACAATCATATACTAATTGTAATTAGCAAATCAAATTGGGGACGACATTCATTCAACAACTATATTTTATAAATAATGTAGTAATAATAAGAAGGTCCATATCCAAATATTTGTCATGACATAACCGAAAATATTATAATCTTTAAACAATTAAAGGGATTGAAATTAATGTTCACAACTTGCAAGAAAGCAGTTGAGCTACTGCTGATGGGATTACTTGTAATTATATATTAGATTAAAATTAATGAGACAAATAGAATTATTGTCACTATCTTTGATGCAATTGAGAAGCAAATCAATGTTTTAATTGTGAAAAGAACTTGCTGACTTTATCAATTAATTTGTTTCTTTCAATTATTAAGTTTAGAGTAAACTACATGTTAACACCAACGTTTGATGAAATAGCAAGTTTCCACCCTTAGTTTTATAAATTTTAGATTCTTACTCTTAAACCAACACCATTAGCGATTTACAAGTTTTGACATAGGTGTAAAGGGTGTTATTACTATACTGCCCTTGACAAATAAATTAATAAATTACTTTTTAACCTCCAAATTAATAGAATTAGAAAAATAATCATCTTATTTTCAAATTTATTTCAATAACACCCTCTCCTTCAACTTTCACATCATCCTCGTCTCCAACCACCCAACCACTGTCACTGCCATCACCACCTAGTCATTGTCGCCAGAAACTTTATCAACTATCACCCAAGCCGCCATGATCAACATCTAACCCATATCCGAACTTTATACCCCAAAATCAAAACACCCTAAATCCAAAAACTAAAACAATTCAAGAATCGAACTGCTCCTACGCATGTTTTCCTATCTCTTTGGCCTAATTCTAGTCAATTTTGACACCAAAAACTACTCCTGTCACCAACACTTGAACCCTCATCCTCTCCTCATCAAAACCTATACCCCTACCAGCTATCCCTAGTCATCGTTTACCGTTTGCGACCTACACCTGCCGCCACGCAATAGTCGCGTTTTGCGACCCCAATCCACTTGAAAACCCCTTATCCTCCTCCACCTTTGGCTATGTTGTTGTGTTTGTTGTGTGAAACGTCGCTAAAAAACCCCCATCAACACAACCTCTCCTCTCTAGAGCACACCCACCACCTGTTTGAAGAAACGCCTCACCAAGCCCTCTCTAGCTAGAACATAACACATTGCATGCAAGCCTAACGTCCAACACATCACATGCATACCCAGTGCCCAGTAGATTCGCCCGCGTGCACAAGCAGGCACACTCGTGCGCATGTTTGTGTGCCTCGCGTTGTCACAGCTTACCACAAGATTGAGTTACGAGAGTCGACAAAGCTGAGGAGGTCAAAGACTGTGAGAGGGTTGGCAACTGTGGGTTATGGAGGGAGATAGGAGTTTGGCTACTGGTTAGGGAGAGAAATGGGAGGTTATGGTTGAGGCAAGGAGAGAGAAGCGGCAAAAGAGAGGTGATTTTAAAGAGAGTGTGCTTATGAGAGAAATTTGATCGAGATATGGAGGGTTATTTTGAAATTTTTATTTCTATTTCAGATGTAACGTCATGCAAATGACCACTTTACCGTTTGATCATTAAATTAAACAATTTTTGTTAACTTAGAAGTGGAAATTTAGAATTTATAAAACCAATGGTGGAAACCTGTCATTTCGTGAAACCTTGGGTGGGAACACGTCGTTTACTCTCAAGTTTATTACAAAAGGTAGCTTATCGGTAAAAGATATGAATGATGAAGGATAAGTTTGTTTAAATTAATTACATTTCGATATCACATACATTGAATCCTATTTTTTTTATTTTGATCATTTGAATCAACTAATATTTATTTATACCAAGAATTGTTAAAATTAAAATTTACATTTATGTTCGTTGAACTTACCAACATTTTGTCTTTTAACATTGCTTTACAAAAAGAATATTTGTTATCAATTGATGGGAATAATATTTTCTTATATAAAGTATTTTTGGGTCCATTTGTTTATCATATAGAGATTAAAGCAAACAAATCTTTATATTATACATAATCTTAACCCATTTTCGGAATATATAGTTATTTATTAGTTGATTAAATAAGAGCAAGTTTCTAGAAATATCGTTCTTCCATAACCTCTAATTAAATAACACCATTAATGTAGCATTCCAATTACGGAATGGTTACGAAACCCTAATACGGTTACATAAGGTAGTTAATTATGCAACTAATTAAGCATTAAATATTCAATTAGCCAACAGTATTGACTACACATAAACACTTCCGTTAATACATTTAAAATTATGATAGTTTTATATATACATAGAACCTCTCTATAAT